GAACACATTCAAACTCGCGTCTCAAGGGAAGCAAAGGCTCAAAGGGGAATCGAGCCTTTATCGTTGTCGGTCCTTCTCTTTGGAATGACCTCCTAAAGCCCCCTCCCTGCCCATCTTTAAAACTAACCTTACAACTCCAATTTATTCTTTGTCTTTTGAATCAGCATGAGACTTGGTTTTAGTTTGACTGTTTTTGCGCCATTTACTGTCTCTGTTACTAATTTAATGTTTGTTGTTATCTGGCTTATTTCTGCTCCATGTAGAGCACTTTATATAAAGCGGTGGTTGTTTTAAAGCGCTCTATAAATACAGTTGTATTAAATTAAATGTCCTCGGTCACACAAAAGAAGAGAACCCCTTTTATGGTTAGCATTGTTCCCTTATTTATGTAAACGGAGCTGTGACCTTAAAACCACGGTACGAACTCAACCCTGACTTTTCGGCGAAGCATTACAGCCCTACTAGTATTACAAATAACAAGGACGGTGTCAAACAATGAGCCCAAAGAGCAACGCAGATGCGAAGGGCGGTAAATGAAGCTAATCGTAGGCTGAGCAACAAGCCGATCCTTCTGTTTTTATATGTATTCCCTGTGGGCTAAGTTTAAAAATACAGAAAAAAAAAGAAAGAAAAAAAAAATCCCTTTCCCGTAAATCCCGGAGGACTTCCTTTGTACTTTAATGATATGCTTTCATCTCCCCCTGAGATACAAAGTGCCGGAAAAAAAACACCTCCACATGCACGGACTTGGTTGTCCACGTCGTGAGATAGGAAACCTGCCGAAACGTCTGTAACGTGAGAAAAGACACCAAGACAAATAGGGGACATAAACACAGAAGAATGCCGCCCTCACCACAAAATAGAAGAAGGAAAAACTTTCCCAGAGGAGCAAACGCACTTTGAAGCCCCGTCTCTTTTTTATACTTGGCACACTTTTGTGAATGAGTTCACGTCAAGGAAAACAAGTCTTGTGCTTTTATGGAGCCGATGAATGGACAACCTATCCTGGAAATAGAAATGACTAAGGCGCATTCAGACAAGAGCGCTCAGATAAGAAGACTGAAGCAAACAAACAAATACGCAAACAGAACACCAAATCGGGATACTAATACGGGTGGCACTCGTTAAAATGATCCCGATACTACCCACTGATACCACACTACCGGCGTGACATACTGCACACTTTCGAGGTCAGGGCCATGTCAAATAGGGATAGTTTAATGACATGAATGACAAAAATTTCAGCCGAATACAAATTAAGCTCTGCAAAACGGCTGACTGACTCCGCTTGGCCGACGACCACCATCCGGCAAGCGCCAGGTTTTGCGAGCCCCGTTGCCCGCTGTGCAACATACTGCTTGAATCTAGCTGAGCCAGCCTGGTTTCCTGTCACAAAGTCAGGACAAAGCCGCCGGGGCGGCGAGCAACACGCTGCGGCACGGCAAGTCGAGTGAAGAGCGGTAAACGATGGTGTGATTAAATAGCACGTCATTTTATATGACATGCCAAGGCACTAATGCACAAGCTCACCAACAAACACATTCACTTGCAAAAATATGAACACACGCACTCACAAACTAACTAACGACCCAATCACAATCACGATTACATGGCCCTTGATTGCTCCCAGGCTTTATATGAAGTTTTGAAGTATGTCGGCCGTGAAAGAAGAAGAAGAAGAAAAAAAAAAGACATCCGGCTACAAATGAGGGCTTTCTTGGTATCCAATTAGACACGGCACACAAGCAGGTAGCCACCGGACAACTTCAGACTTCACAGCCTCCTATTCAGCACCAAATACAAGTTTTGTTTTGTTTTTTTTCTTTCCCAATTGTCTTATTCTTTGGTGCTGGCCCATTTGCCGTGTTAACAGACTCCCTCTGGAGCCCGGCAAACGGTTCTTCACGGGGTCCTGCTCCACTTCCTCTATGTATGGCCCACTTCGCAGCCGACTGACTAAACAAACAAAAAAAAAGGCCGTCGCGCCTGCAAGTAGCTCATCTGTAAACTTCTACTCGGCGTTTGATAAACGGCCACGGAGACAGTAAGGCGGGTCAGGCTGTTTTTGTCTTGTTTTGTCTCTTCCTGACAAAGAACATCAAAACACCTGACGATGTCTTAGAAGATAGAATATCCTTATCTCTGACGTGTGTTCAGAGTGGATGTGTCCCTATTATTGGGACCCAAACGAGTCGGCCCGAAAATCTTAAATAATGATCGTTTTCAATATTTACGACCAAAAATCTTCAAATGTGTGGAGTAAGATAATGGCTTTCGAGGTGTGTGACTTCATGGATTGTGATGAGAACAGAATGTAGCCAATCAAAGATATGCTACGGATCATGTGCCGGAGCAATGAACAACATCGGACACCCGCTTCAAGGAGTGCTTGTACGAGGAGAACCGCCGGTATTTCCATCCGATATTACCACAAGAGCTGTTTGATGGTGTGAATTTTGTTTCTCGTTTTCATGGGGTCGCCATTTGGACTATAAAGGCACATGCATGCAACATATGTTCAGCATTTGCGGGGACCAATGCACATGCGTGAAACACATACTGCTGTCCTGAAATGTATTCTGAATGGAACAAAGTGCGGCATCTGGAGTGCAAGTCCACAGTGGCCAGTATACGCAAAATGCGGAGGCCATAAAGAGAGTTACTTTTAACGAGAATGTCGAATACAGTGCCGATGTTGGTGGGAACATTAGAAACTATGTACTCAAAAGTCTTACTTGTACACGCTGAAAAACAGCTCGGATCAGGTGGCTGTCCCGAGCCCAGTAATGGACAAAGAAATGGAAAAAAAAAGGCAACAGGCAACAACCTGATGTGCAAATGTACCAATGAAGTAAGAACAGATAAACAAACTGCTAAGGAAAGTGACTTGACACATTTTGCGGATAAAGCAACTCCAGAGGAAAGGTGAAGACGTACAAACTGACGGCCAAATGAAGTAACAAACATGGTAGCAAACTAACAAAGTCACTTATACGCTAGCAATCTTGTGAACAGTCTTGCACGCGACAGAGCAATATTGTTAATATAAATCTCGTGAGCTGTGGTAATTTAGCACAATGGCATCCGTGGTGTAAAACACAAATCCCCACAAAAAACATATTTTGTGTTTTTATTTTGAACCTTCTGGTATTTTTCTGATTTATTTGCATTCTTGGCTGTCAGCTATAATCACCAAGATGGCACAAATAAAACACCTGCTCATTATTTTGACGTGCAGAGTCATACGTTCAATAATAATCACGCCAAAAATATTGTTTGACTCTTGCAACTCTTTGCCTTCCTTCCCCACCGGTCGCGTCTCAGGCAAACACCAGCAACCACAGACGCAACATGGCGGAGTTTACAGGCAAAAAGACACACAAGACACATTTATCAGGCGCCGTCCTGTTAAGCGTGACCTCCTTGTGTCTGGATGATTGTACGGGGAGGATGTATTGACAAAATATCGCAATAAAGCGGAGATAGAAACACAAGCCCAAGTCCATAACCGACCACCCCAGAGATCCAGTACCTGCATTCCAAACACACAACAGTCCCACAAAAGTTCCTAAACTCCAGTTCTTCCATTTAGCGCTACACCTGACACATTTGCATCCTGTGCAAACCTGAGCCTGCTCTGCGACTCTTTCACATTTTCGCATGACCGAAAACATCAACATGCTGAGTCCGCAAGCGAGGCAACTGGTCACCAGGGAAACACTTGAGACATGCACGCACATGTACACACGGACACGCATGCGTGCGTACACACACACATTCGCTCTAGCCAACAGCAAAGCAAGTCACTCCAAACGCCGCAGTCATAAAAATGAAATGAAAGGGCATGTTCATGTGGAAGGTGACACTGACTAATAAAACCTGCAGACTAAGAAACTAACGAACCCGTCAAGCTGACTAATGTGCAAATGGACTATTGCAGTACAAGAAACAAATTAATGAAGCAACAGGGTAACTAATGAACAAACAAATATGGGCACGGGTTCACCAAAAAGATCAGAATAACAAATAAGCTAACAAGCACGCTCGCGGGCGAACAACGACACTCAATAAACTGTACGGTAAATGCTTGCACAAGCTCGACACGCAAAAATATCCGCACTCACAACATGTCTGCTGATAGCCAAGAGCTAAGGTGATTCCTGTAAAAGAGTGCAGTCATAAAGAAACTGAAAGGGCCTGTTCATGTAGAGGTGTTTCATTAAAAGCATTTTACTGCTTTTCTATGGCATGTTGAGCAGATGAGAACAATAGTGCAGCGGAGGCATGGGCCGATAACTGGTTTGATGGTTTGCGATGTTTTTTTTAAAAGGTCACGGTTTCAATAAACGCTCAAAATCTCCGTCTCTATCATGAGCTTTTTTTAGGGGGCTTTTAAACAAGGCAAAATATGATTGTCTGCTTGGAGAGTTGACTAAATGAGCGACCTGTACAAAGTTAATTGCCTCCAATTAACAGATATTTTCTTCTACTCAGCAAGCAGAGAGGGAAGGGGTGAGCAGTTACGCAGCGAGGATGAGGGAGGGAGCAAGACGGAAGAGGCTGAAAATATGGATGCCAATTGATTCATATTGTCCTTAAAATAAATAAATAACTAAATAAAAACAAATCTGGTGTGGAGGGGTCCTAGTTAGCCCCAAGGACAACATAAGTAGCCCACGGGTCTGTTCAAAAAATAGCTCACCAGTGATGGGACACGATCACTTACTGAGAAGAATTCAAACAAAAGAAGAATGTTCACATTCATTTTTTTGTCAACTTAACATGGTACAAGTATCTTGAATCTTCTGTACCAATATTTTGTTTAAAAATAAAATAGTTTGAATAAAAAGCTGTTTTCCTCTACCCAAACACAGTATTTCAAAATTGGCCATTTTAGAGCTGTAATATTAAAACCATGACGACTCGAGATTATTTTTCTCACAATTATCGGCCCATGCTTAGTGGAACGCAGAGACGCAGCTTCCATTTGTCCGACTTACCTTTCTGGCAGTAGTTGGAGTTCCAGCAGCGGAAGTTGTAGTTGTTGTTGAACATGGTCTTGCGGCACTGCGGATTGTTCTCCATGATGCCCGGGCACACGTCGCTGCACTCTTTGGACTGCTTGTTTCCGGCGATAAAGTTGTTGAACTCGGCGTCCATGATGAGCGACCAGTCCACAGAGTCCAGATAGCACAACTCGGGGTTCTTTTCAATGCGGATGGCGCCGCGGGTGATGTTGCGCAGGTTGTACAGGCCGATGTCCTTCAGGCTGGTCATCTCAAAGATGACCAGGGCGTAGTTGTAGAAGAGGTTGCGGCCGCGGATCACGGCCAGGTTGGGAAAGAGTGTGCTCAAGCTGTCCAGGCCGGAGACCCGGAACAGCAGCAGATAGTCGGTGATGACAGACAGCTTGGGGAAGCTGAGCGAGCGGAAGACCTCTTGGTTGTTGTTCTTGTCGCCGATGAGGAGGATCTGCAAGTAGCCTTCCACAACCGTGCAGTTCTCCAGACGTCGGAATTCGCTGATGTCGTTGCCAATGTCAATGCTTGGCCCGCAAACTGCAGGTAAAGAAATTTGAAAAAGACTATAAATTTACAGTGGACTTGGATTTTGACTACATGTCTTTTATGCTCAATTCAGACACATAATTGCAGCACATAGTCATGGAATCCTCAGTTTGGACTCAGGTCTTGTCGGCCTGTAAAATTTAACTCAGCTTTCCCAAAATTGTCATGAGTCACAGTTCCTTTGTGATTCAACAAGAGGGGGGTGGGGGGTGAAATTACTTTTTCACAGGTTTTAATCTCCCCCGCCCCGCCTTGGTAAATGAAATCATAAATTAGAAACTAGATTTTATATTTCCTTGGGTAGTCTCTGGCAGATATTAAAATTGGTTTGATGAACTGAAACCTTTGTTGGTGACAAATATGCAAAGAACGCAGAAATCTGGAAGAGGGCAAATCCTATTTCACAGCACTGTATATCATGAAAACCTGATGTGTTGAAAGAAAATATGAAGGCAAATTCAGAATGAAATCAATTAATCGAGAAAACTTAAAACATTTTGGGCAAAAAAAAAAAAAAAAAACTAATTTTTTTAAAACCTGAATAAGACCTCTGGGGTACCCCTTTGCTAGCCCTAATATTTGATCAGGATCAGGTTACCTCTTGCCGAACAGAGCATTGATTTCCTCGCCATATCGAGCCGAAATTGAACACATTGATTTCTTTGTGGCGTGCCTCGCCGTAAATACACAAGCAGAGGTGAACAAGTTTAGAGACGTGGCACAAACGACACTCTTGGAGCAAGGCTTTAATCCTGTGGTGAGTGACATGAATATTGAGGCTGTGTCCAAATTCACAAGCCGGTCCTTCGAAGGCCGTACTTTCGGCCAAGGGAAGTCATTTCCGGTGGGACTTGACCACACGGGGCGTACAAATTCATATTAAGCCTGTCCAAATTTGCCACGGTTTATGCGGTCCACAGAGGCTACACGAGGAGGAGCCTTTGAAGGTGCCAAAGCACCCAGCCTGCGAATTGTCTCTCTCGAATTTGGAGACCACATGAAGGAAGTGACGTCATGCGGCCGAATAATGCCGCAAAGATTTGGACAGAGGCAACCAATGTGTGTTTTGCAACAAGCGGAAATTATGTTCTTTTGTGTCATGCCGTCCGTGTGTCGCCATTAAATCGTGATATTCAAATGCTGGAGTAACTCTTGTCTCCTCAAGCATGTCAACAGGTTATTTTGAATGTTTCAGAAACCAGATCTTTGACATTAACCCAAATATTAACCGCATGTAAGCATAGTCACAGTGATATCTGCTACAGGGCATTTGAAAACACAAAAACAGAATCGGGTAGTATAAATCTAGCCTTACAGCCTAGTAAATGCCATTTTTCCCCAAATAATTAACACACATTCCCCCAATTTTTTTTATTGCATGCTGTCTTATTCTATTTATTTACATTCCTCAAAATAAAGATGACTTAACGTAATGCAGACAAAACAATAAAGTTCACTGAACTGCAGCACTATTTATAATGTCAGTGTTATCCAATACATTTCCCAAATATTGACATTACACTTGGCCTGTTGACTTGTTGACAGAACATGTTTGCCTGGCGTGACAAAATAAATACTACGGTCAGGTTCAATTGGAACGCTGGCTGGAAAAGTGTGGCCCTGCCTTGAGCTTATTGTTTCCCGTTAGGTTAGCGTCCACCTGCAATCGCGTTGTTCTGTTGATTTAATGAGCCAGCTCGTTGCGATGTCAACAAGGCGCCACATTAAAAGAAACGCCAGATCAAACCACCCGCGGAACAAAAGGGGGAGAAAAAAACAGATTGAGGATTTCGCAACGTTGTTATTCACGTCGCAGGAGTCTCTTGATCAAAAAAGTTATTGTCAAATACACGCTAATACTTCACAAAAGCCAATATGGTTGCATTTGGTGTAGGATTGGGCCTATTTTAATTTAAATAGTTTTATCAGGATGGGAGAATCTTTCTGAGAGCTCGAAACCACCATTTTGCTGCCAGTGTTGCATTGTGCAGGTACAAGCAAAACTATCGACAAGTGTGTAACGCAATAGAAGGCAAGTCAGGACCTTCATTCACAACAAGAGACTTTGGTTTTTAAACCTCTCGAGTATCAGGATTTCTATCAGGGCTGAGGCAGTGGTTGGTTCAAAGTCAGCAAAAAGCTGTGTACAGACACGTTGCTGCTTTGAGGCTTTGAATCATCGATGCCCTCATAATTCGCCACGCCGTGATGGCGGCGGCGGTGATGAGAGATGAGGCGTCCCACCTGCACGCGTCGGTATGAACACGGGCAAAGTTCCCACAGAAACGCGGCGAATATCAAGTGGATTTTGCCTTCAAAACTTGAGGCCAGTGAGTAACCGGGAAGTTCCTCCCTGAGAACTTCTTCTCTTTATGATACTACGTGTGATAGTAAACCCATGCGGATACAATCACACTGACTTTGTGCGTCTCACAAAAAAAAAGTGAAAAATAAAAGTGCACCAGTTGCACGTAAATATGGGAGTTATTGCAAGATGAACTGGTGCCAAGAAAGCATGATATTCTGTTCTTCTAATATGCTGGATTTTCATCAGGAACACAAAACGTTCCCTCTCGATCGGAGGCGGGAACACCCGCTTTTTTTGTTTGTCCAACTGAAAGGAACACACCGAAACATTTCTGCTGGCAGCCCAACCTATTTCTGAGCTCCTTGACACGCATTTGTAAATTATACTGGAAAAGATCTACGCGGCGCTTTGATAATCATTTACAGCCTGACCAAATGTTTGCTTTTGTCACAAAAGGCAAGTGGCTTCATAGATGGATGCTGTGCTTTTCCATCCTTGAAGGCAAACACGGAGTCTAGCCTAAATCCCATTCATAGTATGGATTCATACTATGACCTTTCCTGAAAAAGCACATCCAGTACAGTGGTACTTCTACTTACGAATGTCTCCTCATAAGAAATTTTCAAGTTACGAAACGCCTCAGCAGGAAAATATTGCCTCTTGTTACAAAAGAAATTTCAAGATACGAAAGGTAAAAATACAGGATGGTCTGCCAATCGCAGCTCCGAATTTCCTGAACACAACATACTTGTAGCTGCTCTGCCATTGGCTTCTACCGAGCATCATCCTAGCATCCCTTTGGCTAAGAGGGACCTCTACCTTATGTGTCAACGTGTCTATTTGTGTAGATAGATAGATATGTGTTTATGCAGCGTCTTCGTCATTCGCCCCTCGGGGCCATGAGGTGTTCCGATAGTTTTACGTAAATGTGAATCACCCAGAAAAAGTGTTCACCGGTCGGGCGATCGCTCACGATGCTGATGTTTGCCTTGGACATTTTCGAAGGATTGTTAAAAGGCGACAAAAGCAAACGTACTTGGATAAGTTCTTTACAAAACATCAGGCAAAAACCACTTCTGAGAGAGAACATGCACGAAAAAGGGCAAAAAGCGATGAGGACGCAGTTAAACGTTAAATAACCTTCATTTGCACAACTCTCATTTATTGTGCAGTAATCTAATTCTAACATGTATTTGTTACATATTTTGATGCAGGTTTATGCTTCGTAAAACATTTATGTCTGAAATTTGGGTGGCTTGGAACGGATTAGGGCATTTACATGGAAAACGCGTCTCTACTTACAACATTTTCTAGTACAGAAATTTCTCAACTCAACTGCATTTATAGAGCACTTTCAAACAGCCTTTCTTCTTCCAGAACCAATTAATTTCATAGTCAGATCTTTTTGTTGCGGTCCATTCAGTGATGAGCATGTCTGCCTCGCAGCTGTGCGGTTTGTGGTTTGACTCTCGGCTCCGGTCTACCTGTGGGGAGTTTGCATGTTCTTCTTGTGCTTACATGTTTGTTTTTTCGTTTTGTCCTTTGGTGTGCACGTGAGACTGAATTATTTTCTAAATAAATAAGCCTTGCGATTGACAAGCAACCAGTCCATGCTGTACCCACTCTGTTGGCCAAAGTCAGCTGGGATGGGCTCCAGCTGAGCATCAAGCTATTCTAATGAGAAAAAGCAGTACAGTGTTCCTGTGGTTCGGTTATTTCGGCTTCACTCTATCCTGGGTTTTCATTTATGACCAGGACTTAATCGATTGCAGTTTTACCTAAATTTGTCTTTATTTTCTTGCAATTTTTCCTTCCATCTAAGTCGGACGACTTAAAAAAATACAAAACATTTTTTCCAAGGGAAATTTGTTTTACAAAAACGAAGACCAAGACCATTAGAACTTGTCCCCTCCAAAATCCCCTTTCCTTCATTGTGGATGCGTTCGGATATATGTTCCAAAGCGCTGCTCCACTCAGACGGTTCGTAAACTCAGAACGTTGTTCAAATGTGCTATTCAATGACTTGGAGTGCCGCAAAAAACAGGGACCAGTGCAGACAGTCCAAGGTCAATAAGCAGTTGCGTTCAGAAATCAATGGGAACGCTCTGCTTCCGACATCACACAAGGACAAAACTATTTATTACCTTTGTTAAAGTTAGGGATGCACAATAATTATTGGACCGATAATTATCGGCCCCGTCAATAATTAGGTCACTTGCATCGGCCCGATACTGCAAATTAGGCTACTTTGCTCTTTTTGTACTATTTCATTGCTTTTGTTTATAGATAAATAGAAATACACAAGCGGGGGCAATAACAAAACACAACCAACTTTAGCAATAGGTACTATACACATCAGAGATTTTGAGATTGCACATCGCCTCACCGTATCAAGTGAATAGAGTTCAGAAAGTAGCAAAACATCTAACCTTATGTTGTCGCCGAAGTGCACCAGTTGCACGTAAATATGGGAGTTATTGCAAGATGAACTGGTGCCAAGAAAGCATGATATTCTGTTCTTCTAATATGCTGGATTTTCATCAGGAACACAAAACGTTCCCTCTCGATCGGAGGCGGGAACACCCGCTTTTTTTGTTTGTCCAACTGAAAGGAACACACCGAAACATTTCTGCTGGCAGCCCAACCTATTTCTGAGCTCCTTGACACGCATTTGTAAATTATA